TCTTTCAGCAATCTGCAAGGTGTTGGTGGAGGTGCTGGATGTGAATGACAATGCCCCGGAGCTGGTGGTCAGTTCCTTCAGCAGTCCCCTCCCCGAGAACTCAGCGCCCGGCACGGTCGTTGCCCTCTTCACCGTCAGGGACCGCGATGCCGGGGCCAACGGCAAGGTCTCCTGTGCCCTCGACGATCAGCTCGTCTTCTCCCTGCGCCCAGCCTATAAGAATTACTATGAGCTGGTGACCGTCAGTGCCCTGGACCGCGAGGAGACGGCTCAGTACATCGTGACGGTGACAGCAGCAGACGCGGGCTCCCCTCCTCTGACGAGCAGCCACACCTTCACCGTGGCCATCTCGGACATCAATGACAACGCGCCTGTCTTCAACCAGAGCTCGTACACCATGTACGTGCGTGAGAACAATGTGCCCAGCGTGCTGGTTGGAGCCGTGAGTGCCGCAGATGCCGACGTGGGGCTCAACGCCAAGGTGACCTATTCGCTGTCAGCGGGGCAAGCGGCGGAGCGGCCTTGGTGCTCGTGCCTGTCGGTGAACTCAGAGAGCGGGCAGGTGTTTGTGCTGCGAGCCCTGGACTACGAGCAGCTGAGGCAGAGCGAGGTGGTGGTGAGCGCCTCTGACGCGGGCTCTCCTCCGCTGCGAGCCAACGTCACCGTCCGCCTGCTGGTGCTGGACGAGAACGACAACGCCCCGCTCGTGCTCTACCCGGCGCCCGACAGCGGCCCGGCCTCCAGCGAGCTGGTGCCCGTGTCGGCTGAGGCGGGCTACCTCGTCTCCAAAGTGGTGGCCGTCGACGCCGACTCGGGGCAGAACTCCTGGCTCTCCTACCACCTGCTCAGGGCCACCGACCCCGGGCTCTTTGCCGTGGCTGCCCAAAGCGGCGAGGTGAGGCTCAGGAGGCCCGTGACAGACAGAGACAGCGTCAAGCACAAGCTCGTCGTCCTGGTGCGAGACAACGGCCGCCCACCCCTCTCAGCCACCGCCGCTCTCAGCGCACTCCTGCTCAAGGACTTCTCCGACCTGCGCCGACCGCACGGCAGCCCCGCCACCGACGACCAGCCCGGCTCCCTCACCACCTACTTGATCCTTGCCTTGGTCTCCGTCTCCCTGCTCTTCCTCGCCTCCACAGCAGCCTTCGTGGCTCGCAGGCTGTGCAAGAGAAAGGAGCTGAAGGCTGCCCACGTGCTTGACGGGGCCGACAACTTGCCGAGCGGCCTGGCCGAGGCAGCTGCTGCAGGGACCCTGCCCCACCCCTACTGCTACGAGATCAGCCTCACCACGGGCTCGGGCAACAGCGAGTTCAAGTTCCTCAAGCCCTTCGGCCCCAGCCTGACACCACAGCCCTGGGCCATGGCCGGGGGCCCCAGTGAGGAACAGGTTTTCCCTTGTGTCCCTGTCCCCACAGAGGATGTGACACCGGACGATGCTGGGACTGTCTCTGCAGAACAGTTCAACCGTCTTTCCTTTAATTAGCATGGGGTCGTCACAGCCAGAAATTTCATGCCTCATGATGGGAAGGGTTGCAGGATGCAGCCTGTGGCAATGGTTTCTGCGGAGTAGATCTGTATTTGCAATTGGTATAACCAAATTCTGGGAAACTGTTAGTCAGGGAATGCTTGTGTTCCACTAAAACCCAACAAACAAACAGAATAAAGGGTACCCAAAGCTCTTTAACTCAGACAGTAGTAAGTTTCAGACTTGATTCAGCCATTCCTGAGAGTCTTTAAGAATGGGGTTAGCAGTCCCAGAGAAGATCTTGTCCCTCTTGCTGTCACACAAGACAGTAGACCAATTATTCCCTTCTGTAATGGAATGGCACAGTTGGGCAGAAAAATCTCATTCTTGCTGAAATGCACAAAGGCCTTTTCCCAGCTCAGATAAATTAGGATGTTGTGAATAATGCCATAGTGTTTTGTAAGCACAGCATTCTTTCTTTCCTGGGTTCTGAATGTGTCTGGATGAGATGTGTTGGCCCTGTGTCCTTTGCTCTCTTGTCACTGTGTCTGCCTGTGCATCACTCCTGCTGCCTGGTGAATTAGGGATTTGCTCCCATTCAGCCATTGCTATGCAGGCCATTCCAACCCAGCAGGCAAGGAGGGTATTTTGACCCTTTCAGTACATCAGTCTCATCTTCTCTATTGCAGAGTAGAGCAGCAAAATGCACAATAAGGTCTTCCTTTGGCCTATAGGAGGGGTTGGGTGTTCTGTCTCCTTGCAATAGAGCAGCACAAACCATGTTGGGATAGACTGTAACTGTACAGAGGTGTGAAAACATATTTGTTGTGTTTGAGGTGCATTGCATGAAAACTCCACGTGTCCTTCAAAGAACATTTTCTGAAGGCAGAATCAAAATGGACTGGTGGAAAGAACATTGAGTTTGGCCTCCTCAGTGTTGTTCCTCAATCCAGGGGCTTCTTAAAGGAATGGAAAGCTGTCCCCACATGACTTTCCAGTTTTATGTGAGCACATTTGCATTCTCTGGTGACCTTTTCCCTTCTACTCCCTGAACTCTGTTTGAGCATTTACTTGCCTATTTCTTTTAAGAAGGATTGTCATGCCATGTCTAATTACTCATTTTTTGAATGATGTCTGTGAGGAATGGAATATTCAGAAAGCCTCACGCTGTGTTGTGCTGAAGTTATAAACTGTACCATTGTAAACTGGGATACCCCTGAGTGTAGAAACTGAAATAATGTGTAAGAGTGAAATAATGAGAGTCCCTTAATTCCTTGCGTGGAGAGAGAAGTCTTTGTAGAGAAGTGCTTTCTGGGAAAGCTCTGCCAAGTTTTTTCAAAAGTCTGGGAGTTTTTTTCTCAGTGTGTCCTTTCAGTGAGGTAATGTTTGGTGGGTACATGTGTTGAGTTTGGAGATACAGGCAATAGAGCGTTCAGTGCCATGCCCATGCCCTGCCACCACAGCCCTGGGCCATGACCAGGGGCCCCAGTGAGGAACAGGTTTTCCCTTGTGTCCCTGTCCCCACAGAGGACGTGACACCGGACGATGCTGGGACTGTCTCTGCAGAACAGTTCCACCGTCTTTCCTTTAACTAGCACGGGGTCAGCACAGGCAGAGGCTTCATACCTCCTGGAAGGCAGAGATGCAGGCTGCAGCCTGTGGGAATGGTTCCTTTAGAGGAAATCTGTATTTTCGATTGGCATAACCACATTCTGGAAATTTTAAGTCAGAGTATGATTGCATTCCCCTGAAAACCAACAAGCAAACAGAATAAAGGGAACATAAACTCTTTCACTCAGTTATTTATGTGTTTCAGGTCTGTTAAGGCCATTCCTGTGAGGCTTTAAGAATGCTTTTAGCTCTCCCAGCTAAGCTCTTGTCTCTCTTGCTGTTAGACAAGACAGTGGACCTTTAATTCTGTTCTATAACAGTATGGCACAAAAAATGGGACAGACAAACCTCACCCTTGTTGAAATGCACAAAGGCCTTTTCCCAGCTCAGAAAAGTAAGGAAATGGTCAGTGCTGTGTCACAATTGCATGTGAGCACCAAGTTCTTTCTTTCCTGCATTCCGGATGTCTCTGTCTGACATCTGTGGGCTCTGTGCACTTCTCTTTTTTGACACTATGTCAGTCAACACAGCCACTGTGTTGTTCCTAATGTTCACTGGTGTTGCCCACTGAATCAGAGAATTCCTGTCACTCAGCCTTTGCAAAGCAGGTAATTCCAGCTCAGCAGGCAAGGAGGGTATTTTGACCCTTTGAGTACAGAGGATTCATGTTCTTTGTGTCAGAGAAGAGCAGCAAAATGCACAATAAGATCTATACTTTGGCCGATAAGAGGGGATTGGGTGTTTTGTCTCCTTGCAATGCATGGGCACAAACAGTGTTGGGGTAGACTATAACTGTATAGAGTTGTGAAAACCTGTTCCTTGTCTTTGGGTGCATTGCATGAAAACTCCAAATGTCCTTCAAAGAGTATTTTCTGAAAGTACAATCAAGATGAGCTTGTGAAAAGGACTTTGGCTTTGGTCTTCTCAGTGCTGTTCCTGGATTCAGCAGAACTGAACTGGGAAGCCGTCCCAGCATGACTTTCTGGGTCTGTGTTAGAGCATTCATGTTCTCCTTTAGGTCCTTTTTCCTTGTACTCCCTGAACTGGGCTTGAGCATTTTTTGCCTGTTCCTTTTAAAAAGGACTGCCACCCCATGTATAGTAACTGATACCTTTACTAATGTATGTGATGCACGGAATATCCAGAAAGCCTCACACTGTCTGTGTTGTGCTGAAGTTTTAAATTGTAAAATTCTAAACTGGGATACCCCTGAGTGTAAATACTGAAATAATGTGTAATTGAGAAATAAAGAGAGTACCTTAATTCCTTGTGTGGAAGAATCTTTTGTAGAATCATTCGTTCGGGAAAAGTCTGTCAAGCTTTTTAAAAAGTCTGGGAGGATTTTTTCGTTTTGTCCATTTATTGAGATGATGTTGGGTGAGTGCATATGTATCTAGAGCTTGGAGATGCAGGCGATAGAGCGTTCAGTGCCGTGTCCGTGCTGTTACCGCTGCGCTGCCACTGCGGAGGCTCCGGGCCAGGTGGTATCTTCTGGGAAAGTGGTTCAGTCTTTCCGGGCTCAGGTTCTGCCTCACGCTGCGGTGGGAAACGCCTTGTGCTGCTTTTACCGCTGCGTTTCTCGAAGGGCGCGGACGCTTCTGCCAGGAGAAGAGACTCACGGTTTCCCGAGGACTGTGGGCAGGGGGGAGCGGGGAGGGCGGACAGACTCGGGACAGGTGCTGACTCTATCCGTGTGCTTGGAGTAAAGCGGCGGCTCCTCAGTGCTCATCCCGACCCTTGCCGGCAATTCCATCCCCGCTTTGATGTGCGCGCGTCCTGCCCCGGGCTCAGCCGAGGGCGAGCGGCGGCACCGCGCGTGTGCGCGCGTGTCCGTGGGCCGGGCCGAGCGGCAGCGCGGGCAGCGGGCGGCGGCGGGCGCAGTCCCAGCGCGCACCGCTGGGGGGTGGTCTCGGCTAAGGCGCCGCCGAGCCCGACCCAGCCCAGCTCAGCACAGCCAAGCCCAGCCCAGCTCACAACAGCCCAGCCGGGCGGAGCGGGCAGCGGCTGCGGCAGCGACCGCTGGGTCTGCCAGCCGAGCCTGGCACACCGCGGCTGCACTCCGGGCTGCGGAACCGACCGGAATATAGAGGGAGAAACAAGGCACCCGACCGCCGCCGCTTTCTGCGGGGACTACGCGAGAGATCCGCGAGAAGGAGATCGGACACCGCCGCCGCCGCCGCCGCCGGAGGAGGGCCATGGCGATGGCAAGGCAAGTGCTTTGTGTGTGTGCTTTGCTCTCCGTGCCGCTCGCTCGCTCGCAGCCCATCCGCTACTCCGTGGCCGAGGAGGCGGACAGCGGCTCCCTCGTAGGCAACCTGGCGCAGGACGCGGCGCTGCCGCCGGCGCAGCTCTCGGCTCGCCGCGCCCGCCTGCTGGCCGAGGACGGCCGGCAGCACTTTCGCCTCGACCGCGCCAGCGGCCGCCTCGTCGTGGCCGACAGGCTCGACCGGGAGCAGCTGTGCGCCCAGTCCGACACCTGCACGCTCGCCTTCGAGCTGCTGCTGGCCGACCCGCTGCAGTTCTTTCGGGTCGAGGTGACCCTGCACGACATCAATGACCATTCGCCCGTTTTTCCCGAAGATAAAGTCACTTTTGACATCCTGGAAACGAGCGAGCCTGGCTCTCGTTTCCCTTTGGAGGTGGCTTGGGACTTTGATATTGGCAGCAACAGCGTCCAGACATACAGCATTGCTCCCGAGAACGAGTATTTTAGTGTCTCCTATGGGAGTCGGATGAAGAGCAAGAAGTATGTTGAACTGGTTTTGGAGAAGTCGCTGGACAGAGAGGAGCAGGCAGAGATGCATTTCAGTCTCATTGCTGTGGATGGGGGCTCTCCACCCAGAAGTGGAACCACCCAAATTCACATTACAGTTCTGGATGTCAATGACAATGCTCCCGTCTTCACACAGGAGGTGTATGATGTGCAGGTATTGGAAAATGCACCGGAGGGCTCTGTGGTCTTGACTGTCTTGGCAACAGATCGGGATTCAGGAATTAATGGAGACATCTCCTACCAGTTCAGACAAGCAGTCAGTCAGAGTGATTCAGCCTTTGAGATTGATCCCATAACGGGTGAAATTAAACTCACAAAGCCTCTGGATTTTGAGGCAGCAGACACTCACGAGCTCAGTGTGAGAGCCAGAGATGGTGGGGGCCTTTCAGCAATCTGCAAGGTGTTGGTGGAGGTGTTGGATGTGAATGACAATGCCCCGGAGCTGGTGGTCAGTTCCTTCAGCAGTCCCCTCCCCGAGAACTCAGCGCCCGGCACGGTCGTTGCCCTCTTCACCGTCAGGGACCGCGATGCCGGGGCCAACGGCAAGGTCTCCTGTGCCCTCGACGATCAGCTCGTCTTCTCCCTGCGCCCAGCCTACAAGAATTACTACGAGCTGGTGACCGTCAGTGCCCTGGACCGCGAGGAGACGGCTCAGTACATCGTGACGGTGACAGTAGCAGACGCGGGCTCCCCTCCTCTGACGAGCAGCCACACCTTCACCGTGGCCATCTCGGACATCAATGACAACGCGCCTGTCTTCAACCAGAGCTCGTACACCATGTACGTGCGTGAGAACAATGTGCCCAGCGTGCTGGTTGGAGCCGTGAGTGCCGCAGATGCCGACGTGGGGCTCAACGCCAAGGTGACCTATTCGCTGTCAGCGGGGCAAGCGGCGGAGCGGCCTTGGTGCTCGTGCCTGTCGGTGAACTCGGAGAGCGGGCAGGTGTTTGTGCTGCGAGCCCTGGACTACGAGCAGCTGAGGCAGAGCGAGGTGGTGGTGAGCGCCTCTGACGCGGGCTCTCCCCCGCTGCGAGCCAACGTCACCGTCCGCCTGCTGGTGCTGGACGAGAACGACAACGCCCCGCTCGTGCTCTACCCGGCGCCCGACAGCGGCCCGGCCTCCAGCGAGCTGGTGCCCGTGTCGGCTGAGGCGGGCTACCTCGTCTCCAAAGTGGTGGCCGTCGACGCCGACTCGGGGCAGAACTCCTGGCTCTCCTACCACCTGCTCAGGGCCACCGACCCCGGGCTCTTTGCCGTGGCTGCCCAAAGCGGCGAGGTGAGGCTCAGGAGGCCCGTGACAGACAGAGACAGCGTCAAGCACAAGCTCGTCGTCCTGGTGCGAGACAACGGCCGCCCACCCCTCTCAGCCACCGCCGCTCTCAGCGCACTCCTGCTCAAGGACTTCTCCGACCTGCGCCAACCGCACGGCAGCCCCGCCACCGACGACCAGCCCGGCTCCCTCACCACCTACTTAATCCTTGCCTTGGTCTCCGTCTCCCTGCTCTTCCTCGCCTCCACAGCAGCCTTCGTGGCTCGCAGGCTGTGCAAGAGAAAGGAGCTGAAGGCTGCCCACGGGCTTGACGGGGCCGACAACTTGCCGAGCGGCCTGGCCGAGGCAGCTGCTGCAGGGACCCTGCCCCACCCCTACTGCTACGAGATCAGCCTCACCACGGGCTCGGGCAACAGTGAGTTCAAGTTCCTCAAGCCCTTCATCCCCGGCCTGACACCACAGCCCTGGGCCACGGGTGGGGGCCCCAGTGAGGAACAGGTTTTCCCTTGTGTCCCTGTCCCCACAGAGGACGTGACACCCGATGATGCTGGGACTGTCTCTGCAGAACAGTTCAACCGTCTTTCCTTTAACTAGCACGGGGTCAGCACAGGTAGAGGTTTCATGCCTCATGATAGGCAGGGATGCAGGCTGCAGCCTGTGGGAATGGTTTCTGCAGAATAAATCTGTATTTGCAATTGGCATAACCAAATTCTGGAAAACTGTAAGTCAGGGAATGCTTGTGTTCCTCTAAAAACCAAGAAGCAAACAGAATAAAGGGTACCAGAGCTCTTTCACTCAGACAGTAGTAGGTTTCAGACTTGATTCAGCCATTTCTGAGAGGCTTTAAGAATGTGATTAGATCTCCCAGCTAAGCTCTTGTCTCTCTTGCTGTCACACAAGACAGTGGACCTCTTCTGTAATGGAATGGAGTAGCTAGGCAGCGAAATCTCATTCTTGCTGAAATGCACAAAGGCCTTTTCCCAGCTCAGATAAATTAGGATGTTGTGAATAATGTCATAGAATTGTGTAAGCACAGCACTCTTTCTTTCCTGGGTTCTGGATGTGTCTGGATGAGATGTGTGGGCCCTGTGTCCTTTCCTCTCTTGACACAGGGTCTGTCTGTGCATCCCTAGTGCTGCCTGATGAATTAGGCATTTGCTCACATTCTGCCATTGTTATGCAGGCCATTCCAACCCAGCAGGCAAGGAGGGTATTTTGACCCTTTCAGTACATCAGTCTCATCTTCTCTATTGCAGAGTAGAGAGCAAAGTGCACAATAAGGTCTTCCTTTGGCCTATAGGAGGGGTTGGGTGTTCTTTTACCTTGCAATACAGCAGCACAAAGAGTGTTGGGATAGACTGTAACTGTACAGAGGTGTGAAAACATGTTTGTTGTGTTTGAGGTGCATTGCATGAAAACTCCACGTGTCCTTCAAAGAACATTTTCTGAAGGCACAATCAAAATGAACTGGTGGAAAGGACATTGAATTTGGTCTCCTCATTGTTGTTCCTGAATCCGGACGCCTCTTAATGGAGTGGAAAGATATCCTCTCATGACCTTCCAGTTTTATGTGAGCACATTTTCATTCTCTGTTGACCTTTTCCCTTCTACTCCCTGAACTGTGTTTGAGCATTTGCTTGCCTATTCCTTTTAAAAAGGACTGTGACACCATCTCTAATAACTGATTTTTTGAATGATGTCTGTGAGGAATGGAATATCCAGAAAGCCTCACGCTGTGTTGTGCTGAAGTGTGCTGAAGTTATAAACTGTACCATTGTAAACTGGGATATCCCTGAGTGTAAAAACTGACATAATGTGTAAGAGTGAAATAAAGAGAGTACCTTAATTCCTTGTGTGGAGAGAGAAAAGTCTTTGTAGAGATGTGCTTTCAAGGAAAGCTCTGCCAAGTTTTTTCAAAAGTCTGGGAGTTTTTTTCTCAGTGTGTCCTTTCAGTGAGGTAATGTTTGGCAGGTACATGTGTTGAGTTTGGAGATACAGACAATAGAGCGTTCAGTGCCGTGCCCATGCCCTGCCACCACAGCCCTGGGCCATGGCCGGGGGCCCCAGTGAGGAACAGGTTTTCCCTTGTGTCCCTGTCCCCACAGAGGACGTGACGTCTCTGCAGAACAGTTCCACCATCTTTCCTTTAACTAGCACGAGGTCAGCACAGGCAGAGGCTTTATGCGTCCTGGAAGGCAGAGATGCAGGCTGCAGCCTGTGGGAATGGTTCTTTTAGAGGAAATCTGTATTTTCGATTGGCATAACCACATTCTGGAAATTTTAAGTCAGAGTATGATTGCATTCCCCTGAAAACCAACAAGCAAACAGAATAAAGGGAACATAAACTCTTTCACTCAGTTATTCATGTGTTTCAGGTCTGTTAAGGCCATTCCTGTGAGGCTTTAAGAATGCTTTTAGCTCTCCCAGCTAAGCTCTTGTCTCTCTTGCTGTCAGACAAGACCGTGGACCTTTAATTCTATTCTGTCACAGTATGGCACAAACAGTGGGACAGACAAACCTCATCCTTGTTGAAATGCACAAAGGCCTTTTCCCAGCTCAGAAAAGTAAGGAAATGGTCAGTGCTGTGTCACAATTGCGTGTTAGCACCAAGTTCTTTCTTTCCTGCATTCCGGATGTCTCTGTCTGACATCTGTGGGCTCTGTGCACTTCTCTTTTTTGACACTATGTCAGTCAACACAGCCAGTGTGTTTTTCCTAATGTTCACTGGTGTTGCCCGCTGAATCAGAGAATTCCTGTCACTCAGCCTTTGCAAAGCAGGTAATTCCAGCTCAGCAGGCAAGGAGGGTATTTTGACCCTTTGAGTACAGAGGATTCATGTTCTTTATGTCAGAGAAGAGCAGCAAAATGCACAATAAGATCAATACTTTGGCCGATAAGAGTTGGTTCGGTGTTCTGTCTGCTTGTAATAAAGCAGCACAAACAGTGTTGGGGTAGACTATAACAGTACTGAGTTGTGAAAACCTGTTCATTGTCTTTGGGTGCATTGCATGAAAACTCCAAATGTCCTTCAAAGGGCATTTTCTGAAGGTACAATCAAGATGAGCTTGTGAAAAGGACTTTGAGTTTGATCTCTGCATTGCTGCTCCTGGATTCAGCAGAACTGAACTGGAAAGCTGTCCCAGCATAACTTTCTGGGTTTGTGTTAGAGCATTTGTGTTCTCCTTTAGGTCCTGTTTCCTTGTACTCCCTGAACTGGGCTTGAGCATTTTTTGCCTGCTCCTTTTAAGAAGCACTGTCACCTCATGTATAGTAACTGATACCTTTACTAATGTATGTGATGCACGGAATATCCAGAAAGCCTCACACTGTCTGTGTTGTGCTGAAGTTTTAAACTCTAACATTATAAACTGTGATACCCCTGAGTGTAAAAACTGAAATAATGTGTAATTGTGAAATAAAGAGAGTACCTTAATTCCTTGTGTGGAAGAATCTTTTGTAGAATCGTTCATTCAGAAAACTCTGTCAAGGTTTTTCAAGCGTCTGGGAGGTTTTTTCTCATTTTGCCCGTAGATTGGGATAATGTTGGGTGGGTCCACATGTATGTAGAGCTTGGCGATGCTGCCGATGGAGTGTTCAGTGCCGTGTCGGTGCAGTTCCCGCTGCGCTGCCGCTGCGGAGGCTCCGGGATAGTTTGTCTATTCGGGGAAGGCGGCTCAGTCTTTCCGGGCTCAGCCTCTGCCTCACGCTGCGGTGGGAAACGCCTTGTGCAGCTTTTATAGGTGCGTTTCTCGAAGGGCGCAGACTCCCCTGCCAGAAGCAGAGACTCACGGTTTCCCGAGGACTGTGGGCAGCGGGGAGCGCGGACAGAGGGGGGACAGGTGCTGACGCTACCCGTGTGCTCGGAGTAAATCGGCGTCTCCTCATGGCTCATCCCGACCCTTGCCGGCATTTCCATCCCCGCTTCCATGTGCGCGCGTCCTGCCCCGGGCTCAGCCGAGGGCGAGCGGCGGCACCGCGCGTGTGCGCGCGTGTCCGTGGGCCGGGCCGAGCGGCAGCGCGGGCAGCGGGCGGCGGCGGGCGCAGTCCCAGCGCGCACCGCTGGGTGGTGGTCTCGGCTAAGGCGCCGCCGAGCCCGACCCAGCCCAGCTCAGCACAGCCAAGCCCAGCCCAGCTCACAACAGCCCAGCCGGGCGGAGCGGGCAGCGGCTGCGGCAGCGACCGCTGGGTCTGCCAGCCGAGCCTGGGACACCGCGGCTGCACTCCGGGCTGCGGAACCGACCGGAATACAGAGGGAGAAGGAAGGCACCCGACCGCTGCCGCTTTCGTTGGGGACTACGCGAGAGATCCGCGAGAAGGAGATCGGACACCGCCGCCGCCGCCGCCGCCGGAGGAGGGCCATGGCGATGGCAAGGCAAGTGCTTTGTGTGTGTGCTTTGCTCTCCGTGCCGCTCGCTCGCTCGCAGCCCATCCGCTACTCCGTGGCCGAGGAGGCGGACAGCGGCTCCCTCGTAGGCAACCTGGCGCAGGACGCGGCGCTGCCGCCGGCGCAGCTCTCGGCTCGCCGCGCCCGCCTGCTGGCCGAGGACGGCCGGCAGCACTTTCGCCTCGACCGCGCCAGCGGCCGCCTCGTCGTGGCCGACAGGCTCGACCGGGAGCAGCTGTGCGCCCAGTCCGACACCTGCACGCTCGCCTTCGAGCTGCTGCTGGCCGACCCGCTCCAGTTCTTTCGGGTCGAGGTGGCCCTGCACGACATCAATGACCATTCGCCCGTTTTCCCCGAGGAAAGTGTCACTTTTGACATCCCGGAAACGAGCGATCTTGGCTCTCGTTTCCCTCTGGAGAGGGCTTGGGACCTTGATATTGGCAGCAACAGCGTCCAGGCATACAGCATCTCACCCGAGAACGAGTATTTTAGTGTCTCCTATGGGAGTCGGAGTAATGGTGACAAATATGTTGAACTTGTGTTGGAAAAGCCTCTAGACAGAGAGGAGCAGGCAGAGATGGATTTCAGTCTCATTGCTGTGGATGGGGGTTCTCCACCCAGGAGTGGGACCACACAAATTCACATTGTAATTATGGATGTCAATGACAACGCTCCAGTCTTCACACAGGATCGTTACACTGTGCAGGTTTTGGAAAATGCACCGGAGGGCTCTGTGGTCCTGACTGTGCAGGCAATTGATCGGGATGCTGGCGTTAATGGAGATATCTCCTATCAGTTCAGACAAGCGGTCGGTCAAAGTGACTCAGCCTTTGAGATTGATCCCACGAGTGGTGAAATTAAGCTCACAAAGCCTCTGGACTTTGAGGCAGCACAGACTCATGAGCTCAGTGTGAGGGCCAGAGATGGGGGGGGCCTTTCAGCAATCTGCAAGGTGTTGGTGGAGGTGTTGGATGTGAATGACAATGCCCCGGAGCTGGTGGTCAGTTCCTTCAGCAGTCCCCTCCCCGAGAACTCAGCGCCCGGCACGGTCGTTGCCCTCTTCACTGTCAGGGACCGCGATGCCGGGGCCAACGGCAAGGTCTCCTGTGCCCTCGACGATCAGCTCGTCTTCTCCCTGCGCCCAGCCTATAAGAATTACTATGAGCTGGTGACCGTCAGTGCCCTGGACCGCGAGGAGACGGCTCAGTACATCGTGACGGTGACAGCAGCAGACGCGGGCTCCCCTCCTCTGACGAGCAGCCACACCTTCACCGTGGCCATCTCGGACGTCAATGACAACGCGCCTGTCTTCAACCAGAGCTCGTACACCATGTACGTGCGTGAGAACAATGTGCCCAGCGTGCTGGTTGGAGCCGTGAGTGCCGCAGATGCCGACGTGGGGCTCAATGCCAAGGTGACCTATTCGCTGTCAGCGGGGCAAGCGGCGGAGCGGCCTTGGTGCTCGTGCCTGTCGGTGAACTCGGAGAGCGGGCAGGTGTTTGTGCTGCGAGCCCTGGACTACGAGCAGCTGAGGCAGAGCGAGGTGGTGGTGAGCGCCTCTGACGCGGGCTCTCCTCCGCTGCGAGCCAACGTCACCGTCCGCCTGCTGGTGCTGGACGAGAACGACAACGCCCCGCTCGTGCTCTACCCGGCGCCCGACAGCGGCCCGGCCTCCAGCGAGCTGGTGCCCGTGTCGGCTGAGGCGGGCTACCTCGTCTCCAAAGTGGTGGCCGTCGACGCCGACTCGGGGCAGAACTCCTGGCTCTCCTACCACCTGCTCAGGGCCACCGACCCCGGGCTCTTTGCCGTGGCTGCCCAAAGCGGCGAGGTGAGGCTCAGGAGGCCCGTGACAGACAGAGACAGCGTCAAGCACAAGCTCGTCGTCCTGGTGCGAGACAACGGCCGCCCACCCCTCTCAGCCACCGCCGCTCTCAGCGCACTCCTGCTCAAGGACTTCTCCGACCTGCGCCAACCGCACGGCAGCCCCGCCACCGACGACCAGCCCGGCTCCCTCACCACCTACTTAATCCTTGCCTTGGTCTCTGTCTCCCTGCTCTTCCTCGCCTCCACAGCAGCCTTCGTGGCTCGCAGGCTGTGCAAGAGAAAGGAGCTGAAGGCTGCCCACGTGCTTGACGGGGCCGACAACTTGCCGAGCGGCCTGGCCGAGGCAGCTGCTGCAGGGACCCTGCCCCACCCCTACTGCTACGAGATCAGCCTCACCACGGGCTCAGGCAACAGCGAGTTCAAGTTCCTCAAGCCCTTCATCCCCAGCCTGACACCACAGCCCTGGGCCATGGCCGGGGGCCCCAGTGAGGAACAGGTTTTCCCTTGTGTCCCTGTGCCCACAGAGGACGTGACA